CTAAACGTGCCAACGCCCGCGGCAAGGGAGGCCAACACGGGAAGGGTCGGGGAGCCGCAAATCAGGAGGAAAGCGGCCTCAGAAAACTTTGGGGACGCTGCGAGATCTGCCTCCGACGCTACAAATCCCGTAGTTAAGCCAGGGTTTCCCGAGCTCTGACTAAACAACAACAAAAAGGGCTCGGGAAGGGTAAACAGGAGAAGCAGAAGGTGGTTTAAGAAACCTCCTTGACATATTTAGCTGTCTGTTGTGACAGAGTCTCTGAGTTCCTGCTTGCTGCGTTCATGTTTCTCTTTTCAGCTTCAGGGCTTATTTTAAAATCCAGCCTCAGCGTTCCCGTACACATAAGCAGTCCCAAAATAAAAGCGGTGGGTGTGCCAGCTCTTCGGAGATACCTTCTAGCAACCGAGGAGCCCGTCCAGCACCCAACGCACCGCTAAAACTTGAGCGTTTATACACGACTCAAACAACTCGGCTTGCTTATGCAATCGCAAGAAATTTAGGTAATGAAACATCTCGAAGTTAAAATTCCCAGGAGCTATAAATAGAGGAAAATTGCTTTAAAATTTCCAATCAGCAACTTCTCGGGGCCCTTTTGAGCCTGGCAGCGTTGACTGTACAGACACGTTTCCTCTCAAGTGGAGCGAACACGAGGACGGAACGAAAAACAAGATCAGCGTTTAAAAAATGCCAAGCAACACAGGTGGCGGGAGGTGCAGAAAATGCCAACGGCGGAGTCAGTCTGCTGATCTGGGCTGTATTTTTTTTTTTTTTTTCCCCCCTGCTCTGTTTTTCCCCACCTCGTAAATCCCCGCTGCGCATAGGCACCGCTGGGGCCCTCTTCGCGCGCTCCTCTCGATTCCGAGGCAAATATCGCTTAATCCGGCTTCACGTGTAACTGTGCGAACGGGGACGTTGGGCTGCCGTTGTTGGAAGAGGTTGTCAACGTTGCCGCCTTCTCCGTTCAGCTGAACGGAGCTCTTGAAACAAGGTAATCGCGTGTTACCGCCCGTGGTACCGAACGAAATAAATCCGCTAGACAGGCTCTGCCAGAATCACGCCTTGGGGTAAATTAGCCCCAAACGCTGTGTTTCTGCGCGTACGGATCCCCTCGCGGTCAGGCGGAGACTGCCCCTGCCTGAACCAGGCTGGCTTTTGCTGCGGAGCAGC